GCCCCTCTCCTGCTTGTGCTCTGTCTCTGTCTCTCAAAAATAAAATAAATGTTAAAAAAAATCTTAAAAAAGAATGACTTCTGAATTTATCATTCAGATAAGCTTAAGCATTTCCTAATTTTTTTCTATACTTTACTTTCTTATGCAAAACCCAAAACAAACTTTAAGGTCACCAGTGGTGGCAAAATACAGGTTCCAAAGAGCATGCTTTGCTACCTCTCACATTAAAGGATTGCAAAGAAACAACAAGTTGAATAGTCCTGAGAAAAGTGAGGACTGCTTGTTATAAGACCATCCCTGTCCTTTCTCATCCATAATTTCAGGCACCCACATTTGCATCTTCAACTTTAGGTAAATCAGAGGGTTTGACCAGGGTGGTTGTTTTCATTATGAGCCCTATTAAATCTGTATAAATTTTCATATGAAGAAAATAGGGAGGGGGGAATCTCAATTTCATATTCTGTGTACATGTGACTACCCATTGTCGTTTGTGTTGTGACCTTTCTTTCCTGTTTTCAGGGTGCCATGGCAGCTACGTATTCTGCTTTAAACCGTAATCAGTCGCCGGTTTTGGAACCAGTAGGCCGTTCTACTCTTGCTCAGCGGAGAGGTATTAAAAAAATCACCTCCACAGCCCTGTGAAGTGACCTCAGTGAGATATTTGGTACCATGGTGTAAGCTGATAGCACAAGTTCTGGCGACAGGTAGCACATATCTGAGAGACACCTGCAAGCACACACTGTCCCAGCTGGTACCCATAATGCTGCTGCTCCTGCTGCTGCTCCTGCTTCAGTCTCTTCTCGCTTTAAATGATTGTTAGCAAGTTAGATTTTCCTGGAGCTTCGGATGAAATGAAAATGGAAACATGATGAAGACATATTCACTGAATCAATGAGAATAATGAACATATGAATACCACCTAAAAATACACTGAATAAAGAACTCTACACCATATAGCATTATTTTTATAGGAAATATTTCATGTCCCTGAAATATTCTTTGTTAGTTATAGGGATGGACAGTTTATGTTAAGCACTTAGCTTAAACAATCCGTTTCTATTAGCACTGTATCCCTTGTGCCATCCAACATTTTGTATGTTTTTGTAAACAGTTCATATACAGTACATTTCTGTACTGCTTTCTTTAATGTATACATGCTTTGTTTAACTTGGAATCTATTATTATTAATCAATTGACTATTAAATCTGGTTAAATAGTTCACCTGGATTAACAGTATTGTTGGACAGCCCTAAAAATGGCCAGATTGTGGAACAGCTGTTGAATGTAATACTTCCAAAATGTACATATCTTTCCCCATGTCTGTTTCACTGGTTCGTTCATTTGTTTGTTTCTTAAAGTCAGGTGCTTTGTCAGACTAACCTAGAGAGCTGTTATGGTAGAGAAAGTTATCACATGTGTGTGGCATGACATCAAGAGTACAACTATGAAGTTAGTCCATATACGTTGCAACTCCTTAGGGTTCTTTTTTCCTTAGTTGAGGAAGTAGTTCTTGCACTTTTAATCTTGAATAGTATCCATATTTAGTATTTGGCATATAATTTGGGATTTTGCCAGTATACATCAGGCCTTTAAGAGTTATGGTGAAGAGATTGGCAAAGGAAAATTTAGCAACAGGTCATTCAAGTCCCATTGGATCTTTCATGTTTAAATAGATCAAGTTGCAGAATTTCGCTTATGAATAACAGGATACATGTTCTTGTATACCTGCAAGAAAAGTATGCTTTTTTTGGAAAAAAAGGTAAATCATAATGAGTTCTGTCCCATTACAATGCTCTATATTAAACACTAATTTGAATGTAATAAAGGCCACCAGCCTCTATATGAAATTGGATTTAAACTTTCTTATTCGAGGGAATAAAACATTCTTGATCAAACATTATCTGTTCTCACCTGAAATCATAGCTAAGGTAGGCTAAGTGAATGTTCACCATTGAGTGTTTTCTGAATTCCTTCTGATGATTTATAGCCCTATAATTTTTCCTTTAACTTCAGAACTGATCAGCTTTCATAGTGGTCACTGGGTCTGCTTCGATTACAGTATTCATTATCTACATCTAATCTGGGTAGTTTTCACAGTTTCATTTAATTAAGGAAACTTTTGTATCCATTATTACCTGTATTTTGGTCAAGCTATCTACCATACATCAATTTATAATATGAAAAACATGAACAAAGAGAAAGTGATTTAGCTTAGCCTTATCAGAAATGTACCCAACAGATCATAGTCATGTACTAAGCCATTTACATCAGAAGTTTTTTTTTCCTGCCTGAAGCTTTAAATCTTCTCTTGAAAGTACAAAGCCAAGAAAGCATACTTTAGTTAAATGTCTTGGAAGCCACTTATCATTTCTTAATTTCTCCTCTGTGCAACTAAAGAGAAAGGGAAAGTCTGTAACGTTAATTTTGCTTAAGTGACACAAAATGATTATCACATCGAAATCAAATGTAAGTTTATCTTCTAAATAAAAAACATATAGGAGGAAGGATATCAGAAGATCTAGTAGGAGAAAGTGTTGTTTTTTTTTAATTTTTGAGCATACAAATGCTAACTATCAAAAGCTGCTTCCCATTTCCTGGAAAGAAACCTTTTTTTTTCCTTTCTCTCTCTATTCAGTATTTCAAACTATGACCATCCCAAATTCTTGTCACTTTTAAAATGTTAATGTAACTCTGGAAAGAAAAAAGATACACTTGCAAATTTTGGACACTGTTGCAATTCCATAATTGCTTAGGTGTTTTGTCCATCATAATCTTAGAACCAGAAGTAAATGTGTAAACCCTTATAAATTATCTAGTCCAGCTTTCTCATGTTGCATGTAAAGAACCTAAGACCCAAAGCAAAGACTTCTCGTTTGGTTTTTTACCCTCGTAACACCATGCTGCCTTCCCTTCATATTATCACCCAACCAGGAGCAGACTTGTTCAAATCATATATATATAGTTCTTAGGACATTTACTCTACTGGTATATGAATGCCAAATTGATTGCTTTCAAAGATATTGCCTTCTTTGCCTACTCCAGCTGCCAGTTTTATTGGAGAAAATCAAGTCATATGTTCACAAAAGTGAAGGCTTTTGCCTAAAATGCAGTTCATAACCTTAATTTATTTCATCTGTGGTCCTGGGTTTCCTATTGCCTTTGACTTAAAACAGGCAAGTTGGCCAACAATTGTGCTCTAAATGTAGTGCTTGCACCGGGTTTACCTTTTCATTAATTTCTGAGTCCACTTCTTCTGGGCCCTTCACCAGTTAGTTTTGCTGGTTACCAGGGCTTCTCCCAGAAAGGTTTAAGTTCAGTCTTAAAGATATTTCAGTGTGAAAGAAGGAACGAAACTATCAGGCCACTTTTACAACCCCCCTCTTACCTTATAATCCAAAATAATACCTAGAATTGAAGATTGCATTTAACTTTGCCAAGCACACGCTGAAAAATATGGATTACACTACCATGAGTTTTATATCTTCTCTTTCAAGTGATGATGTTAAATTAAGGTAAGTTTTGTCCTTTTAATTTTTTATGTAACTCATTTCAGCTCCTTCTAATTTATAGAGATGCCTTTTTCTAAGTACAATAATAGACCCTTCCTTAACTTTAACAGTTTTGATGCGGATTTGTTCATTCACATGCAACCCCAGAAATCCAAAAATGTAGTGATTTTGCCAATGCACAGAATCAAGATGCTGCAAGGTTAATGTGTGGGAAAAGCCATTTAGTGAGTGGTGTGATGTGTATGCAGTAGAGATTCATATTTCACATGCCCGGGGCTGCAAAGTATGGGTTTGAATCAACCGTTTCTCACCTAATTTTAAGAAGTCGTTGCTGTTGGGGCCAGGACACATTATGGGAGGTGGGGCTAGCCTGTTTGCTGTGCCCTGCACCCTCAGTACAGGAAAGACTTATAAGGGGAGTGGGGTGCAACGGCTTCATGAGTAGGCAGAATGGGTTGGGTTGGAAAGGGGCTTGAGGGGTCCAGCCTGGGATGAGAGCAGAAAAGCATTCAAGATTTGGGAGCCTTGGTACAGATGTACTTAATCACTATGGAAGTCAGCAATATATATCTCAACATGGCTTTGAAATTCTCTACTTGCTGGCCTTTATAAATGAACATTTTTCAGCTCGCTTTACCGTATTTAATAAATTCTCGTGTAGTATCAAGTGTTTGTGAGATTTATGAAGGCATTAGGACAGATATCTCAGGAATGTGAAGGGTTAGAAAAGGTCTGTTTTCAGTGATTAACAAATGCAACGGGTTCCATGGTTGACCCGTGGTGCTTAAACCAAGAGGTTCCAATTCTAGTCCTAGAGTTCTGTCCCTCCAAAAGCTTCAACTCCTTATGACTCACAAACTAGATGTATACTTTGAGTTTTAGTTAATTCACAGATAAGTTGACTTAACTCAGTATTTATATTTCAATTAGTGAAAATAGTCCTCTCTTCACCTCCAGATTGCTTATATCTTGCTGGTTTCCCCAAGTGACCATTGGTGGAGACCAATTAATGAAGGAATGATATTTGCTTTCTTGCGACTGTGGTATTCTGCAGAGCCACGTTTAACCACTTTTTCTAGTGAAGAATCTACAGAATTATAGTACCTAAATATGGATGGCCAAGAAAAATTTGTATCTACAGTGTGCTTTATGTACTTCTGACACTGCTGTATTTTTTGTGGTCAGGTGACTTGTAACTGGTTCCAATGTGACTGAGTGTTCTCAAAGAATTCTGGTAATTAAGTCGACTTAATTTTCTTAAGCCTTGTATTACTATCAGTCTCACATTTACCACTTTGATTCTAGTCTTTTAACTGTTCATAACAGGGCATACCAAGGGTTGGGATGAGAGTCTACTTCCTACCTCTTAAGGCACTTTCCTCATTATTTTGCCATATAACCTTGAAGTGCATGATAAGCTGTTTAAATGTCCATGACTTCTCTCAACGCAACTAGCAAAGTATATGACATTGAATAGAGATTAGTGGAAAGGAAAATTTAGAGACTAAATTCAGAGATGCAGACCTCAAGAAAACCTCTTGAGAGCATGTACCATTTGAATACAAAATATGTAAACGTATGTGAGAGGAGAAGTCTCTGTAATAGTCTTAAGTAGATTAGTTCATTATCTAATGGAAGTGAAAATCTTTACTCCTATTATCACTATAGTACTGAATGAACTGTATACTGAGTTTTTCAAACAAGTATTTAAAGTAGAACTTTTAAATACAAAGCAAGGGCATAAGGATAAAGGTTTTGGTTTATGTTTCCCTAAGTGTAGTTTACCATCTAAAGCCATATATATATATATATA